AGCCGGAATTAGCACAAAATTCGGTCGTCGGTAGAGATCGGGAAGGGCGAAAAGGGTAGGAAAATAACAGCGCTCAGGTGAAGAGGGATGAAGCATACCTGCTTGAGGGGCTGAGCGCAGCGGAAAGCTTGACGAGCGAACATTTTGAATGAATGACAGACACCAATGCGTGCTCAATGGGTGGTGAGAGGAAGAGGGAAGGTCAAGGGAGCAAGAGCGGAGGGAAGAGGACCTTCGGCAAAGGTAATTACTACTAGTCTCAAGCTCCTCCCTCTCGGACTCCGAGACGCCGTTTCCGCACATGACGCAATGGGGCCGCTCGCGTGCCTGGCGTTTTACTAATTACAAACTGACATTTGATGAACATCTTCATTTTTTCTGTAACTATTGTCGATGGATAAAAGATTGAAAATGCTCTATGTTGGGGTGATACATTCAGCAGTTTGAACCACACACCCACCATAAGATCTCCCAGAATGGCCTCCCAGGCAGCCCGCTGGTCCGTCTTACTGGCCTCCCTTACAGAACATATACTACCTGCAATATGGCCGAGCGCCAGCGGATAAATTCATACCTGGAATCGAACCCAGTTTCTGTAGATACTTGACCGAATCCCTGCTTAGCTGTCTTTATTTCGAAAATGACAGTTTAGAACGCAAGAATAATTGCTGTACTGTGTATGTACGCCAAATGCCTAGCAGGATCTGTTGTCCACAAGCCGTCGTTCTACAGGCCAGATTGTCAAAGGTTGGAGGATAACGAAGTCATTGAGGCAATAAGCCATGATGTCAAGCGTGTTATATGTTTTCCCACTGCCACCCTTGACATCCGACGGATATACATGGCTAAACCCGAGCCAGCCAGAAACGCCACCGCGACTAGGTTTTGTCAGTCCCACAAATATGCCTATCATATTGGAACAAAAAATAACGTTCCGCATGCTAGGCTATATTTGCAGGTATTAGATAGGCTAAGCTGGCAAACAATCTGGGGAAGCATGAATAGGTGTTCGATTGTGCATACATAAATCGAAACCCCCAGATTGAGCGGTCCGGATGTATATTATGGTAAGTATTTCGATCCTCGTGGAATAGCAGGACCAGCACTACGCAGAGCGTTCTACGATGTCTACAGTACGCTATGCCCCGTCAAAGAATAAACAGAAACAATACCCCGGTATTTTTTGATATAACTTGAAAGGGTCGCTGCAGAGGACTTAAAGAGACATAAAAACCATCCGTCCCATTACCTGGGTTGAGGAAACACGCCCTGTCCGCGTGCTCCGTGTCCTTCGTGCATGCTATGGCCATAACATAGTCATTCATCCACACACTCCGATCACCCAAACCCAAAACGTCACATTTACGCGAAAGTAGAGGGACGAGAGTAAGCGAACACCTTCTTGCTGTTGGCAGCACGGTGGGGCAGGGGGAACTTGAGGTTCTTGGAGAGGAGCTGCTTGATGTAGGGGCGGCGGATGCTGTCGGCGTTCTCGATCTCAACAACCTTGAGGATCTGTAGGAACGTAGTTAGATCGCAATGTTCCTGGGTCAAAGAGGATAGGAATCTCAACGTACGTGGATGGAGCCGAAGCGGGCACGGTGACGGGCAGCCATGTCCTGGTAGAGAGCCTCAACAGCCTCGGTGCGGCTCATCTCACGGAACTCCTTGTACATGTTGTGGGTGCCGGAGCGGGAGTCGTAGCGGAGCCAGATACCGAAGTTCTTGACCTTGGTAGGGCGCTTCTCGCTGATCTATTGGAGGGAAAAAGACAGGCGTCAGCCAACACTGCCAACTTGTCGCTTCATGACGGCCACACATACCACATTGATGCTGACGATCTCACCGTTGGCCTTCTTGACCTTGCGGAGCTGGGTCAGGAAGTACCAGAACCGGGACTTAGCGACAACAGTGTTGGGCGCAAAGATGCGCATGCGGTACAGCTTGGGCGTGGGGTTAGCCTCGGTGGGCAGGTGACGCCCAATGACCTGGTACTCGGTGAGACGCCCTATGGATCCCAGTCAGCCATGTCCTCCCATCCGATGAGAACTGCCTCGTGCAATGGTTTCAGTCGTTGCGTATATTCCGTGCGAAACGTTGTTGACAGTTGTGCGAGTTGCCGATACTTCTGCGATTATTTCATGTGTGCGCCACGATATCGAAAATTTCGTCCTCCCATATCAGTCGTCCACAGTTGAATAATCCACCCATCATTCTTGTTCCCAATCGATTCCAATCCAATTCCAATCAAGATGTGTAATATCCGATGTCGCCGAGATAGAAAAATGCCGTAAAAAGTCGTTCAACGATCGCAGGGGGAACATCGCAATAACCGATTCACCATTGAAGACAATATAGGAATTCTGGGAAATTTCACTCACCCATCTGGTAAATTCAGTCAGTAACAATTTCAATATGTCGATGAGCAGATCAAAAAGGTAGGGCTTACTTTGATTGTTGACGCTGTAGTGGTTAGTCGACGAGAGGTGTGCCGGCTGCTGGACTCGTCGCGGAAAGGAGGATTTTTGGAACAGTTGATTGTGAGCTAGGTTTAGCCCTGCTTAGGGCTAAGCGACCGTGTGGCTTGGTCACCCACCTTACCTGTTTTGGAACACTAGCCACAGCCAAGGTGGCAGCAGTGATTAGATAACACGGATTCCCTGAGCGGCGCCGCAGTTTCCCCACCTTCCTCCGATCGCGTCCGCAGCTGGCTTCATGGACCTGGAACTCCTTCTGTCAGTGACGCCGATTGTTGGTCTCCGTGGCTCGGACGTACGATCGCCGTGAATGCATGTCCGCTGTTGAACCCTTCCCCTCCTTCCCCGCGACCTACCTCTACACTCTTGTAGTCATCAACCATGTCCAACATCTTCGATGATTTCAAGGAAGGCCAGAAGATCGGCTCTGGTGCCCGCCTGGCGGCATCTCTCTCCCCAGTCGCGACTGCGGAGTACCCCGACCGTCTGAAGTCATTCTACTACTTTTCTAACGCCGTACATGTTTCCGCCGACCTCCGATACTCGCTCTTTCAAGCAAATGGCCTGAAGCTTCCCAAGCAAGAACAGAACTCGTGGGTCGACATCTTTACCGCTTATTGGAAAGCCGTGGGGGAGATTGTTCGATTCGACGACTCCCCCAGACATGCTAGCTGGGTGAAAGTATTCGATGCGTGGAAGGATACGGCAAATCAATTGATTAGGGGCTACTCAACAGGCAGTCTGCAAGCCTGGACGGTGCCATGCTTGTACTCTGTCGGAAGATATTTGCGGGCCTTCGCCATGAAGGCTGATGCTGAGCTTTCTGCCCAAGACTCCGTCACTTTCGACGATCGCTTTCAAGATGATGCGACGGATGCCAAGAATCCAAAGCTGGAGGAAGCTACACGGGTGCTCAACAGGATGTTTACTTTGTGTCTAAGTGACCGGTAAGCTATATTCGGAAGTGTTGTGGATATACCATGCTAAGGTTGTTTAGGGCACCAATCGAGGAATCGCGAAAATGGGGCATCTACGACACTACAAACCTGCTGTTCAAGACATACTTCAAACTCAACACCGTTGGCCTCTCCAAGAACTTGCTGCGTGCCCTCAATGCCTCGTCTGCCGACCTTCCCAGCTTGGACGCCTTTCCCAAGTCTCACATCGTCACCTTTGAGTACTACGTCGGTGTAATACACTTTCTGGATGAGAATTATGCGGAAGTATGTGCTTCAGTCACCTATTTTGGGTTCTGTTGCTAATAGCTGGGCTTATTAGGCTGAAGAGCATCTGTCGTACGCATGGAGGATGTGCAACAAATCTGCGACGAAGAATAGAGAGTCAGTACTGTACATGTCGTCTTCGTGCTACATTGCTGACTACTTCCAGGTTGATTCTCACCTACCTCGTTCCCTGCCATCTTGTCACCACACACACTTTGCCCAGCAAAAAGCTTCTTGCACCGTTCCCTCGTGTAGAGAAGCTCTTCCGTCCATTGTGCGACTGTATCAAAAAGGGAGACCTGCGCGGGTTTGATGCCGCGATGACAGCCGGAGAGGAAGAATTCGTCAAGAGGCGCATATACTTACCCCTGGAAAGGGGACGCGATATCGCTCTACGGAACCTCTTCCGCAAGGTCTTCATCGCCGGTGGATTCGATGAACCCAAGGAAGGACAGCCTCCTATTCGTCGCACACGGGTTCCCGTTGCCGAGTTCGCAGCGGCGTTAAGGATCGGTACTCATGCTGACGATCGGTCCCGCGTAGACATTGATGAGGTTGAGTGTCTGCTGTCAAACCTTATCTACAAGGTGCGCATTGAGATGCCCGTAAGCCATCGAAACGTTGAGCTGACAAGAGTTGTAGGGATTGATGAAAGGATACATTGCCCGTGAACGCGGCATGGTTGTATTGAGCAAAGGTGGCACCGCATTCCCTGGAACGGGGGTTTAGCTCTGCTATCATCCGTCATCGCATCTTCGATGACAGCCTATCACACTTATCGAACAGTATCGGGTCACCAGTATACCATCGCCCGAAGGGCATTACCCGAGAGCCTTCAAGAATACGGCTTTGGCAGGGACGTCTGCATCGCTTGCCAGCCTGTATTACATGCGCTACAACAGGCCTTTGAGCAGCTCCCATGCAGCATGTATATCATAGATGACCGCTTACAGGACCCATACCTCCAACAGCGCTGGTACATGAATGGACGGTATGCCCCGCAGTTACGCAAGTCGTACAGTTAGTGCTGGTGACATACTACCTCAACTGCCTGGTTCAAGCTGAAAACGCTGTAATCTATACCATGATAGACCGATTATAAATACCACATGACCTCATGACAGATACAATCTCGCATTTCTGTATAAATCCCCATAACAGACACATTACTATACAAACATCGCATCAAGCAATACATAGCATATACCACCAATCCATCCCAACACAACAATCCCATCCCCCCCCGGTACATTATAGTAAGTAGAACAATCCGCCCAAACCAGCCGGGCTGCATATATCACTAACACGTCCCTTCACCCCTCGCCGCCTCCTCAAGATCATCCTATAGTGAACCACCCACATTAGCCCTCCGCACACACACACCCTTTCACATTACAAAAGGGAAATCAGAACTCACCATATGATTACACATCGCCACAAACAAATCAAAAAACAACTTCCCCCCACGTTCCATCTCCATCTGCATCGTCCCACTCCGCTTGAACGTTCCCCGACTGCGTATAATCAGCGCCAGATAATGCGCCCGCAGCTTACTCTCCGTATCCGGCGTGTGCATGTACGCATACCGCGCACTGCTCAGGATAATATGGCAGGGGATGTTAGAATGGAGGCCTTGCTTTTTCAACGAGAGGCGTTTGAGATGCTCGAGGGAGTATTTTTCGGCTGCGCAGCTATATAGTACAGTTTCTTGTGTTAGTATGGGATGGGGGTTTACAGGTAATTTGTCTGGGGAGGAAAGGGGTTGACAGGACATACTATACTGCGGTGTCGCGGAGGATTTCTGCTCCTACGGCTGGGTGGAAGATGATGGCGCTGGGGTCGGTGGTGTCTTTGGTATTAGTGGTAGTATTATTTCTGGTATTAGGAGTGGAGGATGAGGTGGAGGGGGTTGTTGTTTCCAAGTCCCATGTGTTGGTGGATTTGTCGTGGCGGAGACGGGGGTAGTAGTCGCCGCGGTAGAGGTATTCGAGGACGCAGGAGAAGATTTCGGGTTGTTCGTCGGGGAGGTCGATTGTTTTCATGGATTTGGTAGGGCTGGGTGAGGAGGAAGGGGAAGAAGAGGGGGAGGAAGAAGAGGAGGTGTCATTGTTGGGAGGATTGCAGAGGGCTGCGAAGTAGGGCGAGACGCAGAGGATGTCTTTGTGTGCGGCGAAGAGGCGTTTGGTTGGGCCGATGGTGAGGGTTATTACGCCGTGGGAGAGGGAGGAGTTGCTATTTGGTGGAATTGGGGTCTTATGGTTAGTGGGTGCTTTTGATTTTTTACTGAGATAGGATGGGGAGAGAGAGGGGTGTAAGAACCTTCCATCTGGGGGTGTGTCGGGGGTGTGTCTGCTGCGATGGAGACGTCGTGATGCGACGACTGATTGTTCGCGAGATCGCGGTTTGGCCTTGCCGGCTCGGTATCTGGAGGAGAAGCTATCTGGGTGGTGGGAATGTAGGCGTTTTGTGGAGAGGATTCTGGGGCTAGGGCGATGGAGGCCCTGCTGTTGCTGTGGTTGTTGCTGTTGGGATAGCATTGTGAGGGAAGGGATTTGGGGGGGAAATGGGATGGAATAGTAGCTGGGGAGAAAGAAATTGACCCTGGAGATGGAAATCAGGGGGTCCTTGAGATTATAAAACTACTAGTAGTAGTACTGTAGGATACTAGGTGGTAGAAAGAGATGGTAAGAACTGGACAGATACATGTATGTTTGACCTCTCCTATTTGGAGTGCCTTCTTTGTCTCTGGAAAGGGGGTTGCTGAACCACAAGCACAGGCCATCCTTTACTCCTCGCAGAGGAAGGGGAACGAGGGAAAAGTCCTCGGCCCTTTTATCTCCAGATCCTGGTCAAATTTGACGCATTATAGATCAACTCGACCAGGATGCATGTTTCTCTCTGTGCAGGAGGGGACATGGAGAGGGGAAGAGCAGTGAACGCGTAACGGCAGGTACTGCTAGTAATGGACGCGTAAAGTGGTTTTTTGTGCATCGCCAAATGATCGCGCAGTCACGGGAGAGCCATTGACCAATGATGGCTTCAAGGGGGGAGATTGGGAGGTGGAGACTTGGAGACGCCAGAGCGAATCAGCCCGGCATTCTTCGTTCCGTCCACACCCGCGATCGGCGCAGAGATTCGATGCATCCAAGTTTGTGGATAGCTATGGTTGTATGGCCAGTGGGGACAGGGTTCTTCCTGGTCATTACTACTCGTTGACTAAACGCAAAAGTATGGCCCGTCGTGTCCAGTTGGTGCGGATGGGCGGATTCCACCATCCGTGACTCATGGGTCCATCTAGGAATCATTTGTCTGTCATACCGTCGGACCGGTTGCATCAACAGCCGCTCCTTGAGAATACACATGACACCGTAAGGCAGAAAAGTTTCGCCTGCAGGGACCCGCTTGCATCTCCTGAAGACAGCCTTTCACTGTGGGATGGTTAGTCTTGTCCTTTCTAGGCTGGAAGGCGTTTAACCTTCGAAGTTGATAGCTCAGATTCCTACCCCGCCGACACAGTGGGCGATAAAACGCTGATAATATTATATCCTTTCAAGCATAGTAACGAAACGTTGCGTTATGTACAACCATGTACAACCCAGGTCCTGAGCCTGCCCAACCCATGTACGCCCATACCATAACGCCTGCTTGCAAATTGTGTAACCGACGCCCATTGCGGTGTGGAGATGTGCCTGCACTTATGTCCGCTATATCTGCTGAACTGACCCTGTCGGTTCAACTAGAGGAATACCTTTCTCGCCTCCCGCGGATGACTCTCACTCGGGCAGTAAGGGCACTTGAATCGGCTACCCTTGCACAACCGTTTGAGTGACTCCTCCGCGATTACATGCCCACAGGGCATCATCATGGGAGGATTCTCATCCGTGGTTTGCTCCTTTGATACGGGACATACAAAGATAGAATGGAAGAGATACGACGGGGGTAGCGGGATCTCGACCTATTTAGTGCACCAGTCAGCTCATGAAACGTCAGACATATGCGCATCAACTTGACTTACCGGGAGCTCGTTCTCCGTGGTCCATTCGGTTCGTTTGGCTTTCATGATAGTCTGTAACTTCAACAGCGTCGGCAGCGCAATGGCACCGGCAGTAGCAGCAACATATAGGGGCGAATCTGCCGACAATCCGAGTAGCGAGCAAAACTCTCGCGTGAATGAGTGTGCCACATCGGACCATGCCGACGGGTTGTTGAAGATATGGTTGTACGGGGAGTCTCGCAGATTGGGGCAAAAGGCCATTGCACCCATGAGCTGCTGGACCTCGCGCAGATACCTGGGCAAGAATGTGTGGAATTCACGCCTGCCATATTCCAAAGCTGCCTGCCGCCCACCCGGACTGGGTCCTTGCTGATGTTGTCCGCCGTAGAAAAGCCAAACGAATTGCAGCCTGCACAATTCAAACTCAAGGTTACTACCTCTCGCCTCCAAAGCCTCCTTGTTCTCCCTGGACCACTGTATTGCCGGCAGCAGGTTGTTGTTTTCCTTCAGCTCATGAAGGATGTGGTACATGGTGTGGAACTGTTGCCGCACTTCGCCCGGCGGAACTTCGTCGAGATCTAAGAGCGAGGCCGCATCGTCTATAGACCCAATATCTCCTTCTTGTTGCTTCTTGATCGCTTTCTTTTGTGCCATTTCGTTCAGGAACTCTGATGCAACGGAAAACTGCCCTTCTCGGAGAAGGTGCATAGCGATAGCTCTGTTGATAAGGTGTTCTTGGGAGGAAAGGACATCATGTTCGGTGCTCGGCAAAGGCCGGTCTTTGAATAACTGCGACAGTGAAGTAGTTAACATATGCCATTCACCATAGGAGCCGGACGCGTGCTACCTTATCTAACGACTTGGAGTATTTGTTGAGACCACTGTGTGTTTCCTTAAGACTATCATTGATGGAATCGAAAGACGATTTGACGGGATTCTGGAGCTTAGCCAGTGTAATGGATGCTTGACTGGGATCTGGGATTGTCCGCGTGATCAGTATAGTTCCAGGATCAAGGCCCGCGCAACGTCCGACGAGGCACACGCACCTGCAGCAATTGCATCTCGTGCCGACTGAAGCAAATCTATGGTAGACTGCACATTCTTGATACCTTGACCGGCTTTGATCTTCTTGGAAAGCCGGTCGTGCTCTTTCTGCACCAGCTCCATGACGGGGCAGACGGGGAAAGCGGTGTCCGACAGTTACCGCACCTTCACTAGGCAATCGTTGCAGCCATATGTAGGTGATTCTGATGGTTGAGCTGCTCACCGCAAGATCTGAAATAAGAATGTGAAGCTCGACAACGAAAATGTGAGGGAAATAGTAGAATAGAATAGAGTCGCCTTCTTCTCCAGGTCATCGGAGCATATGGGCAGGTGAGGAGGAGAACGGAGCGGCAACCAGCCCAATTACGACATGAACCATCACGTGCATCTATCCGGGTGCCCCGCCCGCAGCCCGTTTGCAGTCAACTTTGCCCAATGACATGATCTAGATCACTCCAATGCAATCTATAACTGATTGCTGTCTACTAAATAAAGGTCATTCGTGAATCCTAGTTTCCCTCTTAAGACGCTAAGATTCTGGCTGTCACTGAACTTCAATAGTGATTTGAATAATGAACTCGCAATGAGTACGGCCTCGGATTTCCAGTCACACTCTGGAATTGCTTTTCCCCTCACTAATGCAGTGAGATGCCGCCGTACGTTGCCAGCTCACAAGTAGCTTACCAACCAACGAGTCAAAAAGGAAACCCGACTCACTGAGCAAGTAGAGATCCGTGCCTTACCCGAACAGCCTGTATGAATGCCTCTGCTCCACTTGTCAGAGACCAGGCTCGAATCATACTGGACGCTTCCCACCCACTCAGTCTTTCAGGCCCTCTTTGTCCTGCGACATCGGGTGTTCGAAGTACACGCTCGCTAAACATGCTGTTCCGCTTCGTTTCTGGAGCCTTATCAGGTACCTGTCGTCTGCATTACCAAGGCCCATCGAGATAGGCACATCTCCGTACCTTCGGATCAAAAGCCAATATCAACTGCGTATAGTGAGAGGCATTTAGAAGGGACCACAACAAAGGTATCTCTCCATACGCCTTATCTGTCAACATGGTGTCTCTCCTCTGAGGCCCTTGGTTTTGGACAGGCTTCCAGATATGTGGCGAGAACGAGTGATTAGTCTAGGCAAGTCTCACTTTTTGTCGCGGTGAAGTAGCTCTGCCTATTCACGACTGTTGTCTATACTGGATGTCCACCACAGCATATCACTCATTGTGTGTACGAATGCCTTGGTGCAGCAGAATGTACGGCTCGGTCAAAGATGCCAACTCAAAGCGCAATCACTTTTTCGTAGTTATCAAGCCATCCAACCAAGCTCGTTGTGTTCGGGAATATGACTGGGTCCAGTAGCCGTAGTTCCAAGGTGACAGTAGTGGGTTTCCCGTGTGGCAGAACATGGCTTAGACATCGACGGACTGCACCCGACTCGCTCAGGAACCCACATACACCACTTTTGACTCTATCAGGGGATATTGCCAGAATTATCAGACTTAGAAATTTGGATTACTCCTTTAAGTGTGTGACAGGGTGTCGGTAACTCCCTGGTGAAGCAGAATAGTTACTGTAGGATCATACAGGAAGCTTTCGACCAATCACAGCCAGATATGGAACCTCGCTTACGCTAGCTCACCCGGTGGGTCCCCGCCGCGGCACTATATAAGCTCAGCGCACCCGCCCTTCTTTTGGACTTTTTCTTTCTTTCTTTCTCCATCCTGGTGCACGGGTTTTACACGTGTCAGTGAGGAGACATCCGAGACCGTGTTTTTGCTAGTTGAAAACTACCTAGTTTGACCGCTCTCCTTGGTCTTCGGATCGGGGAGGAATTTTTGAAAAAAAAGATGCCATGTCTCCAAAATTTGGAGACGGTTTAAGAGTACGTAGACAGCGCTGCTGTTGCCCTTCTGTTAGTTCATTTGGGTAGTACTCGAGATTGGTCTTCTTTTCACTGCTGTTGCCTCCCTTGAGGAGGCCTGGAGAGAAGAGAGCCTAATCACCTGTAATAAAATCCCACATCCAGTAGATGATACGCTAGACACCCATGCTACCTGCTCCATTTGAATCCAATTGTTCGCTGCACATGCGCGACTCGGGCCGTGTCACTGGGTACTTGGGCTGACGGACGCGTCCAGTGTGTGCCTACTCGCCACGGCTTCTCCCATAGGGCTCTTGTGGCAGTGCTGAGGAACGATTGAGTTGTGGCTGAATGCACCTAGGCAGCTGCGTTTCATGCAGAATTGATTGGTCTAGATGTAGAGTGGTGTTCTAGAATGGTAACAGCGCTCTCACGCTTACCCTCAGGGATCGTAAGACTAACCAAATACCGTCGCGTTATTCTGTATCTATCTTAATGGCATTGAGACACCTGCTAGTTTCGGATATACACTGTCTATTCCGTGGGGTCTGTTGGACCCAAAGTGGCCCCAAAAAGTCAGGGCGATGATGGCTTAGCCGCTCACCGCTCCAGGTCTGGTGGGAATCCCTTGTGACGTCGCCAACTGAAGTCGCTGCACATGCCGGTAACAACAACCACCTCTCGGCCAGGCTTGTGCTTCTACTTTCTCCTTCAATGATTTGACATGACATGGACAGCCCTTAGCCCGGCTTGTCACATCCGTGCTTGACATTTCAAAACCCTTAGCTCCTTCAACCTCGGATATGTTACGGTTCTTCTTCACCTCTGTACAATACGATAAGACCCCCGGAGGGTCAACGCTTCTGTCTCTTTCGCCTTTATTTGAGCACGGCCTCCTGATTTGCTCTTCTTCAGATTTCTTGAACTCACGCGCACTCCCCTAGTGGAAACACCATATATATAGCCCTTATGTGCTAAGGAATTGCCCGTCTTAACCATGCCACCTCCCGCAACGCAGACAGGTGGCCAAGCACCGCCTCCTACGTCGGCCCCCCGCGAGTTGGCAAAACACTCCATCAACACGAAAGATGTACCGTCTACACAGCTCAGTGGCCCTGAGGGACAGTCGCCACAGCATGGCCACCAGAAACTCGTATTCACCGATCCAGTTGCCCTCAGATATCTCGAAGAGGATAAATCAGCAGTTGTGCTAGGTCGACGATTGATTTTGGAAGGATATGAGACTTTCATTGTTGAACAATGGGCCTGCACGCGCATACACCCTACCTTCATAATAACCACCTATACTGGGGATCCTTCGCACAAGGTCGTGGTGGGGGTGCTGAGCGTCCCCACAGACGAGTCTACGTGGTCGCCCCGTATGAAGATGTACTTCGGCGCAGTCACGCAATGCCAAGCGCGGAAAAAGGAAACGCCATTGGGAACACTTATGGTTACCGATCTGAACGTGTTCCCATTGGCACTGACTCTCATTCCGGTACCCGACGGTGATGTTCTAAAACACAAGGATGATTTCATCGTGAATGAAAACCTGAAACGGTTGGGCTGTTCAGGCCGCTCTGGTTTAAAGTTACAGCCACCCTCGCCCGCCACTGAGGGGAAGTTCCATCACCTTTACCGGACGAGCGAGAAGGTGCCTCTATATACTGCCGTCATAGAGCTTGTGAAGCAATGTCAGATCGCCCTGATGATGTTTGGCAATCTTGCCCCAGAGTACGTTGATGGACTGCTGTGCGATGTCACAGAAGCGGCCATAAATGATTGGTGGACCGAGACGGGTATGGATTTATACAACATTGAACCGAGTGATTCTATGTTGGGCCCTATCTCAGTAGCCGCCCTGCTGGGTACTCTCATGGGGGCGCGAAACCGGCTACATGCCTTCGGTGCTCCGGTTGGGAAGGATGCGTTTGATATTGATAACCTAAAGAAAGGTATTGGAAGCTTTCAAAAATCACAGAAGCTGAAACGTACCCGAAGGTTAGATCGACAGACCTTGGATCGCCTGCACCGGGTGACAGCAAAAGCTGCGAATGCAGAAGGCTGGACCGATGCCGTAAAATCAACCATGGCAGAACTAAGCGGACACGGGGGAGAGATGGTTATGGGAATGGTCCGCGGCCGCGAAAAAGGCGGGATAGCTGATATCGAGACCCTCGATATTGACAACTTCGCACACCTGGTCACCGGTGAACGAGCCAAATGGCTGTGGCGGGGAAAGCCGCGGAAGGGCGGAATTGACGACGGTTTTTCTGGCAGTGCACAGAGTGCAGATATGGTATTCACTACAGACGATCAGGGTGGCCATATTTGGACAAGTCGAAAACGATCTTCGCACGAAGATTTAGTGGCGGACCGCGCGCTGCAAAGCTCAGAACGTCCATCGAGGCCGCCAGAATCAGCATCGTCCTTAGATGAGAAAGACCAGAATCTGGGCCGGTTAGTTCGAAAAGGTGTGAGCGGGAAAGTGTCAGATGCGCGGGCGGGGTTTGGCCGGTTCAAGGATGCAGTAGGCCTCCGGTCCCATCCGCAGAAGCATTCGAGGGATGACATAGACCTTGGCGGTGACCCTGCTCATTTGCCTCCCATTGATAGCGACACGGAGGTGTCTCAGTCGAAGAAATCCGATGGTGCTCCAGTCGGATCCGTGGACGTGCAGGACCTTGAAGGCCAGGCCCCGAAGGATGACTTGCAGGTTGAGTCTCCTCCAAGGACAATATTACCGCAATCACCCAAATCAAGAGCGCCAGCCATAACCGTAGAAACGGTTCCATCCCAGGCTGATTCAGAGTCGTCGCGTAAGGTGTCAGTACCCAGAGCAGATGACGAAGCGCAGGACCTTGAGCGCTGGAGGACACGCTCCACCGACATTACCGTCGACCCTCGGGAGCAGACGTCTGAAGTTGGTATTATGCTCCTGCGTCGACCGCAAAGCTGTACCGAACTGAATATGGAGAGGGACTCCAGTCGTCTTGATAACTACTGGCCCCGCCATCTGTCCTTCAGCACTGTCGAAGAGGTCGTGCTGGGATGGAATGACTTGGGAGGTGAAGCTTTCAAAGAGAAGCCCGATACCCTTCTGGAAGAGGCCATCATGCAGGAAGACATTCTAGCCTCAGATGCACGAATCTTCAGCTCACGTATCCAAGAGCTTAGTGAGCATACTGTACCTTGGGTTGAACAGCAAGTATCTTCTGTGGATGACCTCAGTCGGTGCTTACACGAGAGTCACGAAAAGGTCAACGCCGCCTACCTGGAACGGCTGTCGACATTTGAACAGATGAGAGCTAAATCGAGCGACCTGTTGACGGAAGAGCACAGCCAGCTCACCGATTACATGAGGAGGGTTGAACTAATGGGCGCGAAGCTGGACTACGAGCTCCATGTTCTAGATTCCCGTGTCGAGGATGTCGAAACCAACCTCGACGAGTTCGAACGGCATGTAAATGCCATCGAAAACAGGGTCAAGCTGCTGATACGGGGCGAGCACGAAAAGCAGGACAGTTCCTGGTTCTCCTGGTTGGGGAGAATTACCGGATGCTCAACACAGTAACTGCGAATTCTCTTTTCCCAGAAAGAAGCCTTGTAGACATATATCATTTCTAATGTACATAATTTCCGAGATAGACTTGCGCAGTTCGCGTTGACCGTGCAATGCCAAAGACCCAGCCTTCGCTAACAGCAAACCCTCATCCCAGAACCAAACAACCCTGTATATCCATGTCCGAGCGGAAGTCATCCATCCCAATTAGCATAAAACCCAGGCCTTCCGCTCCTGTTCAGTCATGCCATAAGAGAGACCAAAGGAAAACAAGCCATCCAGAAGAGCAAGCATGACAGATCTGAAAACCCGAATAGATTATACACGACTTATGAAAGAACAGCAAAAGATCCAATTAGATGAACAATCGTTTCGTTGACCTCGCACTTTACATGCCGAAACCACCCATGCCGCCCTTCTGGTTCGCCTCACCCTGCATCTTCTCGCTGACCTTCATGTTGACCTCGAAGAACTTGCCGACACAGCGGTCAATGCAGACGGACTCGCCCTTGTTGAGGTCGCCTTCGCGGTAGTCGTTGGGAATGCACTTCTTGATGCAGGACTCGGTGAGACTGGTGGTCATGATTGGGTTAGTCAAGTATATAAGGTGTCGGGGAGCAGGTGTGATGTTGGGAAGGGGAAGATGAATATGGGTTTCAAAGCAATTGGATATAATGACTGAAGCTTACCGGCTGAACATGTCGGTGACCATCTCAACTTCCGTCTCAGCCGCAGCAATCTTCTGTTCCGAGGAAAGCTTGGGGGCGCCGCCGAAGAGGAAAGACATGATGACGATGTGTAGTGAGGGTGGTGTTGTTTAGCTGAGGTTAGTCAATTAGTAGCTGGTTTTAATATACGACGGGCAATTCCAGGAGTAAGTCGGTCACTCACAAGTGATAACAGAGTTGATCAATGAGCGTTAGAAGGAGTATGATGTGAATGCGCTGAATTGAGCTGCCGGAGCAGACCTGAAGTTGCCGGGATTCGAAGCTGGCCCTGCCGCTGCCGCTCCTCACCGCCTTAGGAATTTTCGCCGGATTTGCAAACGCGTATTTCCCGCACAACTTGACTCTCTTTCTTTTTCTCTTTTCCCCTTCCTTTTCTCAATATGTGAGCACGTAGTAGTTCTCTTTTCACTCTCAATGCAACCAATTCGCCCGTTGAGGGCGTCGTCGTTGCGGGTTGGAGGTCTTTTGTCTAGGTAAGCAGTTTTATGTTCTTGCTGTGTTTTTCCCAATGGATCCTCTTTATCCTGCAACTTGCATGATGAGACATACCCTTCCAATTACAGAACCGCTGCATTGAAGCTTGGGGGTTTATCTTCCAAGTTATGAGTAACAGGAAGCTTTATGTCTTCTGATTTATCTTGTCTCTGTTATTACATTTTATGGCTTGTGTCTATTAGACAGTTTGCTAACGGCATGTTCAGGACAGGACTTCCGATTTCCCGTACATCGCAGGCTTTCCAGACTTCTGGCAGGCTTGCTCGAGTAATACAGCACACTCATGCACCTCTGGTACAAACAAGGCAGAACAGCGTCGATGCGTATCCTGAGAAGGCGTTCAAGAGGCGTGTGCAACTGATCGAAGAGGCTGTTGCTGAGCCGTATCCCCGGCTCGCGTCAAACAAGAACACGGTGAGCTGTGCGGAATTTCGTGGCCGCTACAGCCATCTAGCAGATAATGAAATAGTAGAGGATGATACAGTTGTTATTAATGGTAGGTCCTAGTTTCTAGCCTAGCTGGCTTCTACCATGTCGTCTCGTACTTAAATCAGTAGGTAGGGTACGTACCTTAAGACTTGTTGGAGGCAATTTGATATTCTTCGACTTGCTTCATGATGGCCATAAAATCCAAGTTATGTGCAATCGTCGTCGATTGAAGGATATCCCTCCGGCGACCTTCAAGCAGTTCTACCGGATGCTTCGGCGTGGCGATGCCTTCTGTATGTTTCACCAGCCGTCCTTAGTATCCTGCTTAGACTGAACGATATCCTATAGCCGTAACGGGTAATCCTCACCGGACTGAACGAGGCGAGCTCACGCTTCTGGCAACCGAATTGCCGCAGCTGCTGTCGCCCTGTCTGCATGATATCCCGGTTGATGCCCAGGGGCAGGAGAACTCGCCGTATCCCCGACATGTTCAGTTCCTTGCGGACCCGGGGACAGTAAATGTCATCAGAGCTAGATCGGCAGTTGTCCAGTATCTTCGCCAGTTCTTTGTCGACCGGTCTTTTATGGAGGTTAATACGCCCATTATTGAAGCGGTTGCTGGCGGTGCAATTGCCCGTCCATTCCATACTACAGCCACGGAGTTTCCGGATCGTCAATTGTCGCTACGGATTGCGCCGGAACTCTGGCTGAAGAGATTGGTGGTAGGAGGGTTTGACCGGGTCTTTGAGATTGGACCTTCGTTCCGCAATGAAGGTATTAGTTGTTAGTCAAAGTGCTTGAACGAATACTGACAAGCTACAACAGGCCTCGACAAGACCCACAACCCCGAGTTCACCACTTGCGAGTTCTACCACGCCTACGCCAACCTGGAGGATCTCATGACCACAACCGAGCAGCTACTTTCGGGCCTAGCTGAACACCTTACTGCTTTCCACAAATCGTCCCCCTTCAAGAAGCCTAATCAGGAAGACACACCTCTGCCGTTTTCCCATCTCAACTTCTCTGCGCCCTTCCGCCGACTCGACTTCATCACCTCTATCGAGCAGAGCATCGAGCAGAAGCTGCCAGACCTCACGTCTCCCGATGCTCTGGACCAGGTGAAGGCGATCTTCCGTGACCGCAACCACGCACTTCCCGACAAAGTGACCCTCCCCCGGCTGCTGGACGAGCTCTGCAGCATCTACGTCGAACCCCAGTGTATCGATCCAACCTTCATCGTCAACCCGCCCGAGTGCTTATCCCCTCTATCCAAGTCCTTTATCCACCCCACTACCAATCAGCGCGTCGCCGCCCGCGGAGAGCTTTTCATCGAGGGCCGCGAAGTCGTGAACACATACGAGGAGGAAAACTCGCCGTTCGAGCAGCGCCGCAAGTTCGAAGACCAGGTCCGGTACAGCAAGCAGGCGGATGAGGCAGAAGAGATCGATGAGAGCTACCTGAAGGCGCTGGAATGGGGTCTCCCTCCGACTGGCGGCTGGGGGTGCGGTATCGACCGTCTCTGCATGTTGTTTACTGGAATAACGAGAATCGGGGACATTCTGCCTTTTGGCAACTTGCGCAAAGTGACCACCCGTGCCGATGCAGCGGCTGAAGGCCAGGCTGCTGAAGGGAAGGAGATCTAGACAGCGCTCAGTGAATGGGAGACACGATGACGCGTCTTGCGGCGGCACTCTCATTGGTCCGTTGCAGGCGAGTGGATTTTCGCGATTGTTGCAAGATCTCGCCTGCGTGTCGCTCGACGTTCACAGTCTTGCTAGACTGCTGCGCTGCTCGACTGCTGAACTGGAAATTTGAAATGGAGTCAGAAAGGCTCCAACTGCAGCTATGCAGTAAGCTGCCTGTACATTACATGAACCTTATGTTATAGTAACCACACAATCCACCTCTTCAATGTACATACCCACAATCCAGATATCACAACTCTCAACTGAATCCAACACCCACCCACCACTTTACAGTCTATCAATCAATTCCATTCAGCCGGCCGATGCCATCCGATAAGAAGCGCCGATAAGCACAATTGACCGGCGCGGGCCGAGGCCCTCCATCATCCCACCTGCAATCTTTTCCCCTCATTATCTCCTCTTTCCACCACCACTCAACAACAACCACAACACAAACACAAACACAAACACCATAACCACCACAATGGCTCTCGACGACATACCCGTAGCGCAAGCCGTCACGGTCACCCTGCAAGACCTAATCGACGGTACGTCCCCCAACCCAACCCAACCCAAAACAACCACACCCACATCTATTTCCACCAACTAACACCACACACAAAAACAGGAACCATCCCCCCCTCAACCCTAACAGAAGCCTTCGGCCCCTCCTCCCTAGGCATAATCCTCGTCAAGAACCTCCCGCCAACCTTCCCCCACCTACGCGCGCAAGTCCTCTCCAACGCCTCATACCTCGCCTCGCTGCCCCCCTCCACGCTGGACTCCCTCACCTGCGCCTCCGCAAAATACCTCATCGGCTGGTCCCTAGGCAAAGAAACCCTCCGCGACGGACACTACGACACACACAAAGGCTCCTACTACCTGAACTGCGCGTTCTACAACGACCCGTCCCTGCAAGGCGCGCCGTCCATCGACGCAGAATTCCCCGAATACACCTCCCCCAATATCTGGCCGAGCGAGACAGATCTCCCCACCTTCCGGAGCAGCTTCGAGCAGCTCTGCACGCTGATTATTGATACGGCGGCGTTGGTGGCGCGCGCGTGTGATCGCTTTGCGGTGGAAAGTGTCGATGGGTATAAGGCGGGGTATTTGGAGAAGGTCGTGAGGGGGAGTTTTACCACTAAGGCGAGGTTGTTGCATTATTTTCCCACTGAAGGTTCTTCTTCGGAGGGAGGGGAAAAAGAAGAAAGTGAGGGTGGTGATGATGACGACTGGTGCGCAACGCACCTCGACCACGGATGTCTAACGGGTCTTACGTCCGCGATGTTCGTCGATGAGGAGGCGCATGATCCCTCCTCCTCCACTTTGGAAGATAAATCCTCACCCCTGCCGGAACTCATGACCTCGCCGGATCCTAAGGCCGGGTTGTATATCCGCTCTAGGACGGGCCAGGTCGTCAAGGTCAATATACCGAAGGATTGTCTTGCGTTTCAGACGGGTGAGGCGCTGCAGCTTATTACGAGGGGGCAGTTCCGTGCTGTGCCGCATTTCGTGAAGGGTGCGAGAGGGGTCGGGAAGGTGGCGAGGAATACGTTGGCGGTGTTTACGCAGCCGAATCTGGAGGAGGAGGTACGAGATGGGGTTACGTTTGGGGATTTTGCTAGGGGCGTGGTGGAGAAGACGTCGAAGTAGGATGCCATGTCATTATTTGATGGGTGTGGGGTGTGTAGTTTGTTTGTATAGCTTCTGGTATCATCTTGAATATCTATAGTACAATCCAGCTCAATCATCATGTCTTACTCGCTTGGGTTCCCTCTCTTTATCAGGCACATAGTCCCCTTCTTCTGTTTCCTCTGTCCCGCCGCGCAACTGATCCATACGGAGCGAGAAATCCTCCTCCTCCTCTTCCTCTTCCTCTTCTTCCTCCTCCTCCTCATCATCATCCTCATCACCAACAGACAACCGACTCGTGCCCTCCTCCGCCTCACTAACAGGGTTACTCAAATCCGCACCCCCCAACCCCGTACTAACAAGCTTACTGAGCTTCCCAACCTTGGCAAAATTCGACCTGGACTTCGTCGACGGCCGTCCCACATCGCCCGGTATCTTGGCCTCCCTGAAATCCGCCGCTTTGGCCACCCCATCTAATACACGAAGATTCGCCCTCCACATCTTCATATCCCTAGCGTCGCTATAATGTCCCACATCCTCGCCATTTAACGAGTCAATCGCAAGCGTCTGCGTGCGGAAATCGCCCCAGAACCATTTCTGCCCCTCTGGAATGCGCTCGTCCGCTTGGCGGGAGTACTCGCGTCCGCGGAGCACACCGTTGAGATCATATCCGAGGGATAAGGATCCGAACATGAGTTGCAGGGCGTCGGGCTCGTAGAGTCGGCCGAGAATCATGTCCTGGGATACGTCGACCATGGCGCCGGGGTGCATGCGGTACCAGTCGCCGTAGCCGCTCATGCCGACGTAGTGGAAGGCGGAGACGACTTCGTCTGCGGTGAGGGGTTTGATGGGGTGGAGGGTGTTGCTGGTGAGGTAGATGCGGCGGTCGCTGGGGGTGTAGATCTTGCCGCGGATGCGGATGGTGTATTTCTCTGCGAGGTGCTTGGATTTGCGGTCTGAGTCGCAGTTTTTCAGGTCGAGGCGGATCTCTTCGATTACCATTATGTCGGTGACGGTTGAGTTGGGGGTATTGTTGGGGTTGTAGTTCTGGGGTTTTAGGCGGACGGCGTCGCCGATGGTCAGGAGCTCGGCGCCGATGAAGATCCCCCGGCTGTAGATGGATGCGTCGGGCCAGATGCCTTTGAAGTGGTGTTTGTCTAGGAGGCTGAAGGAGGACATGATGGTCATGGCGTATTCGATGGAGGGGTGGAGGTTCTCGCGAGGGATATTTTGGAGGAAGTGTTCGTAGGCGTTGAATGGTTTGATGGATTTCAGATAGACGTATTTGTAGTGCAGGGAGTAGCTCTTGTCAGGGCTGTGAGGGTCAGGGAAGGTTTCGACGCGGAAGCCTGAGTAGTTGACGCTCTGTTTTTTGGGGGATGTCTGGACGATGTCTTGGAAGATGGTGTCTTCTTCTGGGACCTGACTGACGATACCGGCTCGCCATTCTGGGGTGCCCGACCATCGCTTCTCGCTGGGGAAATATACTTGAATCTGGTTATGTTCAGGGTTCCAGGCGAGTTCGCCTTCGAAATCTGGCGTCCAGAGCACGACTTCTCCGGCACGGGGGAGAAAGGACGGTTGCATGTCCAGCTTTTGGATGTATTCGTCGAGTGGTGAGCGCTCTGCGCGCCAGTCCATGCTTCCAGGCTCTGTGATGTCCTTCTCCTGTAACCCCTGTAGCTCGAGCTGCATAACGGCCATCTTGAACACGTCTGGTGTCCCCTCGTTATCTGTACACGGGCATGTCGCCGACGAAAGCTTTCCTGGAGGCCTGCCTGGAGGTCGGCCAGGGGGCCTACCAGGGGGTCGTCCGGGTCTTCCTGGTGGTCTTCCCGGTGGCCTTCCGGGAGGTTTGCTTGCGCTTGATCCGGGAGGTCGACCAGGCGGCCTCCCCGGTGGCCTACCAGGGGTTCGAATCGGCGTTCCAGTCCCATGAGGTCTCCCCCGAGGCCTTCCAGGACCTCGTCTTTCTGAGCCGCCTTCTGTATATTACTGTCAGTATTGCATAGGTAGTCCGAACATTGGTCGCGACATACCTTGTATTCTCTTAGACATCTTCTCGCAAAGGACACAAGTGCATGGCTCTTGGCCGCCTGTCATAAGATAGTAGAAGTGCGGAAAGAACTGCTTCGTAGAGTTGAAATACACATCTGTCGGATGGCCATAGAGGAATCGATCGTACTGCTGAGGGTTAGGGATGTGGATTCACCCAGGAGTAAAGACTAGAAACCTACAATGTCGGGGTTTGCAATACGCGGCCTGTCAAATAGAGCATAACCATCAGGCAGACTGTCCAGGATGTATTCCACTCCTAAACGCAGGGTTAGTGAAGCGGAATAAAAGCGAATATAATTTCAATATGCTAGCATGCAGCGACATGTCACTTCCCCTTTCTGAACAAAGAAGAGCAACTATCGTTGACCTTCACATGATGGTACAATAAGGTATACGATGCGCCAAACATCTCAATATGGATCTGGAGTACAGAGTCCGAAAATAGTAATGGATAGATAAATCACAAACGACCTCAAAAGCGACCGTGCAAAGATGTAGAGCATCAACCGAAGTATAATAAGATCAAAGTAAATCATGCAATCAACGTACCACGCTCATAAGCCCCCGTTTTCTGCAGCCACATGGAGGCCAGCTTCTCCCGATAGTAACTATCGTCTGGTCGCAGGAATCTCTCATCTTTGGGCCAGTTGTCCTGGGTGCCGTCGCTGAATGTCCGGTTGATTGGTATTACGACCATTTTTTGGTGGTCTGGTGAAGACGAGTCTTCCATAATGATTGACATTATAGTAGAAGGGGCGTGTTCCCCCTGCAGTAGTTAAATTTAGATAAGATTTGAATAAGAGATGGAAATAAGCTGTGACTAGTCTGCACGCAGAATGCACATTTTGGGATAGAGATGAACACGTGACTTGAATACTGAAGAAAAGAAGAGGGAAAAGTGAAGGGTAAAGATTCAAGAAGCAGGAAGACAAGAACAGAGCTATGCAGCATTGATGATAGTTGAATGCATGGGACAAGAAGAGGATCCGCTCTGCCGCCGTGGGTGGTGGTCATGTGACTCTACAGATGGGTAAATCATCAGATTAATCTATTTGCATCATCCAAAAGTCCAGGTACAGATTCACTCGGACACTAAGTCAACATGAATAGAAAAATGAAACAATGGTCACAGCGTCGGCTAGTTTGACCTGCAGTGGATGAGAGCCTACTGCTGATCATCCTGTACCTCAACTGCTTCCGATTCGGATTCATAGGGTGGCGGAAAAAGCTCTCCTTCTTCCACCCAGACCTTGCGCAGCTCGTTCTCAATATCCTCCCGACGCTGTTTCCACTCTTCCACCTTGTCAAGCCGCTTCCGTATCTCCTGCAACTCCTTCTCAACTCCCAGCTTCTCCTTGGCGGTGCCGATCCTCTCAAACTCCCATTGCTCGCCCCCTTCGCCAATACTAATGCTAAGGTTGTATGTGTGGTACTTCTTGAGCGATGCGCGTGTGGAGATCGTAATCACGGTGATTCCCCGCTCCTTAGCCCGCTGGTACAGCAGCCCCTCGACATCAGACGAGACCGCCGAGGTTCCTTCATCAAGGAAGGCATAGCGAGGCTCGTGATAGTAAATTCGTGCCAATGCCATGCGTTGCTTCTCTCCTCCACTCAGGACATCCTTCCACTCCTTTCGAGTGTCCCATCCGCCTTCGCGCCCAGGGAGGTAGCCTAGGTGAGCGTCGTCCAGAATTTTCTGCAGTGCAGCATCGGTTATACCTGCCTCGTGCATGTCGATTGCCGTGTGGGGGTAGATTACTTGATCGCGGAGAGTCCCCACGCTGAGATAGGGCCGCTGGGGAAGGAACATGATGCCGTCAAGCCCAAACCCTCTGGGGCGACTGACCAACCCGCGGTACACTGGCCACAGCCCTGATACAACCCGGGCAATGGCAGTCTTGCCGACCCCATTCGGTCCAGATATCAGGAGGTGGTCGCCGGAGTGCACGACGAATGACAGTGACTCGATCAGATCATCGCCACCCCGGGGATATATTGAAGGCGCGACGATGGGAACCTGTTCGAGACGAACACCATCAAAGCCGTTATGAATAGTTCCTTGTACATCCGCGAGAGAGTATAGCTCCGCATGAGAATTGCGTGGGGGGTAGTATGCACTCGCATGCACTCGGTGAAGGGTGGATATCAAGCTGTAGACTCGAGACGTGTACCCAGCCAACTCCGAGATGTCTTTGATACTATACATCATCCGGCCACCTGCATCCGCCAGAGATAGCATCAAACGTTTGTTCGTGATGAACTCCTTCATGCGATCGCGTTCTCGACCGGTCTCCTTCGGCACGTCGACAAGCTCTAGGGCACCACCCATGCCGCCCCAGGCTGGAAGAAATATCGGCAGAGATGTGATCAGGTAGCCAAACGCAGACCAAGCGTATTTTAGGATGACGTCTTCGAGCATGTTGTAGCGGATTTTGAGGCTATAGATACCTTCCATCCAGCGCTGAAGGTCTTTGAAGCTTCTCATTAGGAAAACACGTTCGATGTCCGCGCCGCCATAGAAAGAGATTTCCTCAGCATTGGCGAGCAACCGTGAATGTAGACCCCGGAAGTCACCCTCTTTCTTTCCCTCCACAGCCTTCAGCTTTCCAAACGGTGGTGAAAGCTTTCGCAGAACTGCTGCGGTACTGAAGTAGCCCGTGAGGATACCGGTAAGGGCCAAAGGCCCGAGAGAACGATACAGTTGATAATTAAACACGAATAGGTCCACCATAGGCTTCCCCATGGACGAGTATAGAGCTGCTGCTGCAGAACAGAAGAGCGTGAGGTCCTGGGTAATGAACTGGTCTGGTCCTTGGCCAACACCGCCATCCAAGTTCATCAACTTGTAGTAGTTGTTATCGCCAGTAAGATAGAGATCGTGGATATACCTCGTTAATCGGGTCCGGAACGCAATAGACACCTTCGATTGAAGGAACTTGATCATGGCATTGGTGTAGGAAGCCAGTGTGCCAATCCCGCACCATTTGAGAATGCCCCAAGCGAAAGCGCGCCTTTTGCCCGCGACAAGATCCCTTACGATCTCGCCATCAAGCCGTGCGATCAACAGAGACAGGTACGTCCGCAAGAGCAAGAAAACCCCATGACCCATTAATAACCCAGTTTCTTTGCTACCCCATCTCGGGACCATGATACTCCCTAGGCTGAGAAATTGATGAAGGAATGCAAGGTTGATCCCAGGCTTTGTGGTTGGCGGCGGTATTTGATTCACAGATTCGCCGTCGCCGACACGGGCGGCAGCAGGTGGATTCAAGAACAACCGCCGATGCGCATCAAAAGTCGTTTGTTTGGTCGGATGAATCACAACCTTAGAGGTCATGGAGCCCTTATAGGGCACATAGATGGTACGAGTGCCATCCTTGCCTCGAATCCCGGAATTCCGACGCAGCAGCCGTCTTCCTCGCGCACGTTCTCTGGCCCTTTCGCTGAACCATTTGTAGCCTCCATAACCGGAACCCAAAATAGATAGAATCAGTGCAATAGTGGCGATGATTTGGGTGGTCTTTGATGAACGCTTGATCCGGGAGCGAACGAGACTGGTGTATTTGTTGTACAGCGCCACGAGAGGATCTTCTCGACGACGAAGCGTTGAATGAGCGGCCATTATGCTTCATGTATAGCCACAGGACCACTTCTAACACAATCTGTGGGCACTTTGTAGGACAGTGCCCTCACGGCAGCTGGCATTCTTAGGCCAGACTGTCGAAGGCCATCAGGAGATGGGGAGAAGCGTCCGCAGGGATGACGCGTTCTATATCGGTCTGTGGTGATATTTCGAGGTCGGATATGCTGTAAGCAAGAAATATGAGTAAGAATAGGTGTGGTTGTGAGATAGTTGTTAGCGGACAACTCACTCAGGAGCTCACATTATGGTTGAAGCTGACAATGTTGTTGAGAGTTAATGCATGTGAAGACCTCGGGCCAACATTGCGGAGGGGCGGAGGCGCACCTCACGTGCGGAGTCCCCAGACCCTCATTACATCAAGTATCAGTAGCCACAAGTTTTAGCCTTCACAGAGACCTGCTCGCTATTTTAGGAGATTGCCTATGAGCCTAATCTCCGAAATGTGGTGTCGATGGCCCTTTAGTTGCTTTTAGATGTTCAAGTAACTAATGAAGCCGTTGACATCATCCGGTCGATGTCGGAGTAGTGAATCGCTTGGTTTCACAGATCTTGTACCACAAATACTACTACTAATTGAGCCATCCAAAATTGCATCAAATAATCGGCAGTAATTGGCTGTGATAATTGTCTGCGTTATTGAGATTTGCAGGTCCATCCTCTGGCAGTCTTACTATGTAGGCCCTTAAGCGCCCAACTTCCTAAAAGGGACCCAGGCACTGCAACCAAGACCGGCCGGATAGTGCAGGTAGTCGTTACGAGGTTGGTGGTATTATCTGATAGAAGTAGTTGTTATCTGTATCATTGAGTTGATCTGGTGCCGGTCGATTAAGCTTCAATAGCGGGAGGTTGATGGTAAAATACAAGGTCTACCAATATCGCACGAGGCACCTAAACTTGAGGTCAGTGCTGGTCCGCTAGACTTTAATCGAAGAACCATCCAGTATGGCTGGCCGGCACTTTGGCAACCAAGGAAGCCCGGGAGGATAAAGTAAATGTGGATCGTTCTCAGACTTGAACATGGTATTCCTTGATTCCGACATTGGGGCCTAGCTCTCCCATTTGTCCTCGATCGTATGACTTGAAAGCCAGAAAGCGAAGGCATGAACATGAATGAATTATCTCGAAGAACAAAAATAGCATCCGAAGGCTGCAGTCTCGCACTTGATGCGGGGGTTGGATACAAGAGTGGGGATGGCATGGAGATCAGGTATTACGGGGTAAATTACCAGCTCTTTCTCTAGCTGCTGAAGCTGAAAGATGGTATACAATCCAAACAGTCTCCGCATACCTGTCTGAAACCAAAACTTGACAATCACTTGGATCTCGAGACAAGCAAAGTATTTCGTAGAATGCGCCATCCCTTGTGTGTCAATGATCAACCAGGAAGGATACTGGAATGTATCACCCAGACAGAAATGTTGTGTGTTATTGGGGTTGTTGCTTAACTCCTAGTACTTAGCAGCCCCCCCCCCTGCAAACTATGGATGGCTGCAGTGGCATCTTCTTTGGCAGGGATGACTATCACCATTTGATGCAGACTGTTATTTACGAAGGCAGGGTAACACAAACGAATGAAAAGGGAGGTTGATACCTACAGCGTATAGAATATTGAGACTAGGTATGTGTGCAGGTATGCAAGCATGGGTAGGTGGCTAGATAGGATGATCGACTCTTCTTTCGACAACTGCACGGGCCTATTCCTGTTGAGAAGCATCTGATTCGCAGGCAGTTCCACAAGTAGATGCATGGAATGACGCCCCGGGCGCATTATCCGCCAGCCATGGTGATGAGCCTTTCTAGACTAGAGCATGTTAATGTTTTTGGAAGATGACCTTTAGATTTCTGAAAAGCTTGCTACGGACGGCGACCTTGGTCCCAGCGAAGGAGGAATTAGATTTAGATTGACAGGCGACGACATGGGAGACCTGAGCAGTACTAGCTGAGGCCGATCACGGTCGGTGATAGATGGCCAATGGTAGGACTTATTCTCAACGGACAATAAATGATGCATGTCTTGATTGGCCCAATAAAATACCAGAGGGGCTGAAGATACTATTAGATGTGAGCGGAGTCATGGTACTGTCTAAGGCATGCGGTTT